CGGGGGGGGGGGGCAGGACAATTCTGATTTACATTCTGTGTCCCATTGGGACTATTATAGCTCCCTCTTCCCCTCCAAAGAACCTCTCAGGTTGGATGATAAAGTAATACACAATCACTAACAGAGTTGAAGTCCGTATTCCATAAGATATACCCCCTGCCGAGGAGCACAGGGACAAGATGGGGACAGGGGGATGTAAGCATTTGCTGAGCTTTTTCAAAGTAATGACTGGTGAAAACCTGTCATCTTCCTGCTTGAGCAGGTATCATCGGAAAACCCCTGACCTGTGTGTTATACGAAAGGGTGATGGCTGCAGGGAGTGTGTGGTCCCTTCTGCTCTGTTTTCAAGATGACCCTTGGCTTGTCCTTGGAGAGGGTCAGTCTCACTAACTCTAGTGGCAGACAGGCGTCTGGGTTGGTCAGTCTTGCAGGGCTGTGGGACCTGCGGGGATTGTTGACACTGAGCACAACCCTCTCTGCTGGTCCAGTGCATAGGAACCACAGGGGTCCTCTGGTGACCTGTGTCAGCCCAGCCACAAAGGCTGCTGGAGATAAGCAGTTAGCTTCAGAGGCATGAACAGAGATGCCAAAGCCAGGGGAACCTGTCCCTGTGAGGTGCAGGGACTTGGAAGCCTCTGTGATCAGAGACCTTTACCTCCTAAGCTAGCTTAGAGTCGGCCTGATTTAGCTTTTGAGGATGGACTGGGAGACTCCTATAGTCTTGGGGTCCACTGAGGTAGGCAGAGGCTAGGAAGCAGAGTCCTCTGCCCTCGTGAGAGAGGAACAGCCTGTGTCAGAAGCAAGGGGCTGGGGAGGGGGCCAGGCTGCTCCCTGGTGACTGTCCTGGCTGTTGCAGCCCTCTTCTCCCCTTGTGCGGTCTTGGTCCAGCTGTATGTAATCCCAGCAAATTTCTTTATCCTTCAAGTGAAGGGTTAACCCTGCAGGGTAAAGGAGGGAATTGTTAGTTCTGTGCGATGCTTTCCAACAGGACCTGACGCCCTGCCGCCCTCTCCCAGGTTCCCTGATCTCATTCTGCAGCATACTCTTTGATGGTCTCTGTCCAATCCAAGGTGGCATGGCCAGTAGTTTAGGATTTTCCTGTGATTGCTCTTGGCCTTAGGTCTTCTGCACTTGCTGTTCTCCTTCTTTGGAACATGACAGCCTTGTTCTTGTCACTTGGGGTTTATCCTCTTCATGGAGCTCTGCCTCAGTCACCATAAAGCAGTGGTCCCACCCTTCGCCATGGCTCCCTGTTTCTCCTGTGTGGCTGTTAGGGTTTTTCTGAACCTATCTCCTTAGCGTGATTGCTTCTTCTCCCCTCTCCCCTCCCTGTGAGCTCCAAAAATCAAGACCTTGTTGGTGGTCCAGAACTCAGAGAAGTACCACTTATAAGGTGAGTGCTTAAGAGTTAAATTCAAATTAATGAATGTTATCATTCCTGTTTTCTACAGTTCCTTATTGAGATTCCTGGTTAAAAAAAAAAAAGTGAGCTGTGGGTTGTTTTTCTTTTTTGTTAATGGTGGCAATACCCACCCACATGCTATGATTTTGAGAGGGCTCAGGGCACTTTCTGGGGCTGAAGGAAGAAGAACCCATTTGACTCTGGCCTCTTTGGCAGGAGAAGGGTGGCACCGTATCTGCTCTTGTGTTGCTCGGCTAGGATTGGGGGTTGCTCTTTTACCACTCTTGACCCTTGTAGGTTTGCACGTGTAGGGTGCCATCTTCCCTCTGCACTCCCACTTTCCAATGAGGAATGGGTGATTTTGGTAATGGAGTAATGCACAGAAAGGTTTGTGAGAGGGCATTGGGTTAGCTTGAAAATCCTGTCATTTGTAGCACGGGGACAGGTTGGTTATAGGATGAACTGTAGGGAGACAGAGGACAGGTCAGAGGATAGGGAAGGTGACAGACCTCTGCTTCCTGACAGAACCTGTTGGTGTTGTTTTCACTTACTTTTCTGGTTATATGGAACATTTTCCAGAGTGAATTGGAGAAGATGTCAAGATTATTATGAAAGGTGTTTTAGAAAGTACCCTGAGATATTCACTATATTTCCTTCTTTTGATTTATTTCCTACCAAATAAGCTCTTTAATAGACCACGTACAGAGACTCTCAAAGCATGCTTTTGTTCTTTCTAAATATGCAGCTATTCAGGCTGAGGGTTGGTATGTTGTAATTGACCTAATGCTTCAAAGAATGAACTGGTTCTGCTGAAATTTTCCTAAAATCTGTCCCACTGACATAATATTGGTCCATTAGGGAAGTGTGTGATTCATAATTAGCTTTCCTTCCATAGTAATGATTTACAGGCAGAAAGGTTAGTACATTTTAAATCTGTGTCACCATTTTAGAAGGCTGTTTTTTTGGTTACTTGGTTTTCAATATCTTGTTGAAATACAGTACTCTGATCTTGTATTTTGAGATACAGTTGTTTTTTTCTCATCCAAGTGCTGCGGAGAACGCCAATATTTCAGGTCTGGAGTCATTGCCAGACATTTGCCTAGGAGAGAAATGGTGTGGTCAGAAAGAAGCAGGACTGGGTTGGTGTGGAAAATTGGATTCACGTTCAAAGCCAATACCGGGATGGCGGAGTTTTGGATACACCTTCGGCTATGCTGTCTTGTCTTGTGTGTTTTGTTTAGAGAGCTTAAGCAATCTCTGCTATTAGCTCATGGATAACTACCAGAATCATGAACTCAAAATTGGTGCTTATTTAACCCTTCGCCTTTCCTCCTAGGCATGTAAGTCGGTGATATTATACAAATCAAATGAAAAACTAGACTCAGCTGCTTTAATTGTGTTTCTGCTCATGTGTTGTAAAATCATACTGTGCTTACTGACTGCCCCTCCTCTCCAAACTTTATACCATTTGCCAAAAAGTAGTACCATTTGCTAAAAAGTAAGTTTGGATTATAGGTTGACCTAGGGCAAGGGCAAAAGTTTCTGTGCCAGAATGTTCATGTGGGACCTTAAGTCCTAAAAATTAAAGTGCAAGTTTGTTCTAAGGGTGGTCACAAGAAGAGACAGAGAAGAGGCTCCATTTTTCACACAGGTCCTACAGACAGGCGGTGTACTCCATGCAGGGGCCACCAAGAGGGCAGAGCATGGGTTATGGCCTGGGTTGGAATTTCTGTGGACAGGGCAGGTCTAAATAGTTTAGAGTTCACTAGTTTGACTAATTTCAGTGACCTCTAAGCTGTTGGGGTGGTATCTGGCTATGAAGTGATTCAGGCAGAGGAATATTTATGGAGTACATAGGCCAGATAGAGGAGGTCTTTTAGTTTGCATATCAGAGATGTTCTCCAGGCTGGGCCTTTATAACCAGCCAGCCTCAAAAGGTGCAGTCTCTTCTCAACCAGAAAGTTTTTTTTTTTAAAGAATTATTTTATTTAACTTTTTATTATTAATATCATTACTATTTTTCAGTTTGATCAGAGAGAGACAGAGAGAGAGAGAGAGAGGGGAAGTGAGAAAGCAAGCCACCAGGTCCGAGACTTGAACCGTGGTCGGCCATGTGGGAGTCCAGCGCCTTTAACCACCACGCCACTTGCCAGCCCATCCAGAAAGGTTTTTAAGATCACAACGTCTGTGGTTAAGGTGCTAGGCTCCCACATGTCCAAGTGCGGTTTGAATCCAGGACCTGTTGGCTTGAAACTCACGCCATTTTTCCTTCTCTTGATTTATTTTCTACCAAATAAGCTCTTTAGTAGTCTTTAATAGGCCAGGTACAGAGAAGGCTGCTTGTTTTGTTGTTGTTGATTTTTAGGTGCACACGCACGTGTGACACCTCACCATCCCTGTATTGGCTTTGAACATGAATCCAATTTTTCACACCAACTCAGTCCTGCTTCTTTCTGACCACACCATTTCTCTCCTAGGCAAATGTTTGGCAATGACTCCAGACCTGGAATATAGGCTTTCTCAGTAGCACTTGGATGAGAAAAAACAACTGTCTCAAAATACAACATCAGGGTACCATATTTCATACACAGTATTAAGAACCAAGTAACAAAAAAACAGCCTTCTAAAAGGGTGACTCCTCAAAAAAACAGCCTTCTATAAAAAGGTCACGTGTGCATGTGCACCTCAAAAAAACAGAAGGGGGTGATTAATCACTTTCCCTCTCATTGTTTCTCTAGGGAGTATGAGTGCCCTATGACTAAAACCTTAAAAAAAGGTAGATGCCAAAACATTATAATATACAAAACATAAGAAAATACAAAACATAAAAAATAAAAACAGTACTGAGGCCCTGCAAAGGGTCACCTTGCTGTATGGTGATCAGAGAGATCTCTGGCCAGTCCAGAGGAGAAAGTCGCTTTGGCAGAAGTGCAAATGAAGAGCTGAAGCAGGCTTGGTAGGGTAAACCTGGAACCAGCAGGAAGAGGCGTCTGAGGGAGCAGGAGAGTGCCTGGTGCCAAAGCAAAGCCTAGGGCAGGCTCTCCATGGAACAGGAGAAGCACCTGTGGCTGTGTTGCCTTTGGTGGTAGCTTTTCTGTGTTTTCAGTGACCTGACCTAAGAGAATTGGAGGTACAAACCGAGTCTGCTAGGTGGACCCCAAAGAGTCATAACCCCAAAAGGGACCAGGAATAAAAGGAAACACCCATCCAAGCTGATAGAGTGTCAGTAAGGTTGGGCAAGACAGACTTGCACTGAGAAACTAACTCCCACATCTCAGGAGGTCCTATTTTGTCAAAAGAAACTTCAGGAAAAGAAAATGCCAACAGTAATTGTGATGTATGTGCTATCGATTTTGGAGACTTTGGAAAGAGGATGGGATGTTTCAGGGAGATTCCAAGTAAGTGGGGACTTTATTCTGCATAAATTGCTTTCTCAATTAAGAGGAAAAATGTGCCATAGATGCAACTTCCTGAATTTTTATGGCTAAATATCTCTTTGTTTTCTTTCCTTTTTTCTTTTCTTTTTGTTGCAGAGGTTTTTGCTATAGGGTGTGTGTGCTTGCCAGAAAGACAAAGAAACAGACAGAAAGCGAGAAATCACCCCCCAGGGGAGATGGCCACACCGCAATCCCTTCTCCTCCATTCTCCTCTTGGGATCTTGGGCACACACTCACACACGCACACGCACCCAGCGTGAGTTTAAGCAACCAGGTCCAGGAATCGAACTGCGGTCGACTACATGGGAGTCCAGTGACATAGCTATTACGCTAACTGCTGGTCCCTTTGTTTTCTTTCTTGAGGACTTAAATGAGGTGCCATAATGTGCATGTCTGTGTTATTTTTGTGTTGAGTAGCAAGTATTTAGGTTTGCTCAGCTTATGCTGGGCATTATAGTTGTTGCTTTGGAGAAGCAGAAAAAGTTAGAAACAACTTGTGCCCTAGTAGAGTTTATAATCCGCTGAAAGTAGAGAGGATTAATTTAGAGTTCATATTTGAGTATGAGATTTTTGGTCATTTAAAGGGAGACTGGTCTGGAAAGTACTTTTTTTAAAAAAAAAAAGAAAAAAGAAAAAGAATTAATTAATTAATTAAAATTTGACCAGGGAGAGACAGAGAGAGAGAGAGAGTGAGAGAGAGAGAGAGCAAGTAAGTTGCTATGTCCGGGACTCAAACCATGGTCTGCCACATGGGAGTCTCTTAACCATCACGCCACCTGCCGACCCTGGAAAGTATTTTTTCCTTTGCCTGTGAACGGTTTTCAAAAGCATATGAACAGTATAAATTCCATTGTCTGGAGAGTGTCGTAAGCACATCATTTTGCTATATACACTTGATATGCTCAAAGAAGATGCTAAAGTATATCCCCTTGGGAGTTATCTTAGGTACTTGAGATTAATCAGCCTGTACCTCTCTGAGTGTATTAAATTTGGATTTAATTTTTGTGAATTCTGCCCACTCTTTCTTCTTCCATTTTTTTTTTCTTTTTTTAAGGTTTTTGCCATAGAGCTGCTCTCATCAGAGAGGGAGAGAGAGGCAGAGAGAGGGAAAGTGAGAAATCATCCCCTTAAGGGGATGGCCACGCCATAGTCCCTTCTCCTCCATTCTCATCTTGAGATTTTGGACACGCACAAACACACCCATACATCCGCCATTTTTCAAGCCGCCAGCTTTAGGACTCAAACTGTGGTCAGCCATGTGGGAGTCCAGTGCCTTAACCACGACACCACCTGCTGGCTCCAAGTCTGAGTTTTTTTTTTTTTTAGTAGAGGGCTTGTGTGCTCGTCAGAAAGACAGAGAGAGACAGAAATTGAGAAATAACCCCCTGGGGAGATGGTCCCACTGCCATCTCTTCTCCTCCATTCTCCTCTTGGGACCTTAGGCACACGCGCACAGGCACTTGGCCTGAGTTTAAGCCACTGGGTCCGGGACTCGAACCGCTGTCGACTACATGGAAGTCCAGCGACATAGCCATTACGCAAACTTCTGGTCCCCTGATTTTTTCTTAAAGTTAGTGTGCAGAGGCTTGTGATCAGACTTCTTGGAGTGGGTAGTAGCTTCTTGGATGGAGTTCAACCTGCTTTCTAGGCTGTTGGCTATTGATGATGAAAGACAGAGGAACTACTGTTCCCTTCTTCCAGTTTCGTGCGAAGCCATGGCATGCCGTGTGCTCTGTTTATATTAGGACCAGTGTCTGTTATGTAAATAGAAAAGGAACTTAAGGTTAAGTAACAGAAGGTTCCATTGCAAACCAGAGTATCTCAAAGTATTCCCGAGGGTTACTGAACATTTTCCTCTGCTTCCTGAAGAGTTTGAACAAACACGGTAACATTTGTAAACGCCAGACTGCTAAAATGGTGAGGCCTGAAGTGATGCAAATATTTGCCGACTTTTAGGGACTAATAATCTGTTAATCATAGCTGTGGCCTTGGAGAGTAAACAACCTCCATATAGGCATCTGCTTAAGACTGGCACGGCCGGTGAGGGCCTGTGTGAAGCAAAGGCCAGCGTGTGACCTTGTCCTCCACTTCCCCTCCGCCAGCCTTCGCTGTCCTGTGCGCAGCTGTGACTGCCGTTGGAGGTCCCAGTGTTTACAGCCCTGTCTCTGACTCAGGGTGGCAGATACTGTTTTTGATAGATCCCAGCCAACTCCTATCACGTTGCACTCCAGCGTAATTGCAGCTGTCTCAGGATTCATTTGCAAGCTGCACAGAGTTAATCATAGATCCGAGTTAAACTTTGTTATGGGTCAAGAGAGAAAGGCCAGCCGTCTATTTCTGGTTGACTCATTTCTGCAGCTCATCATTTGACCACCATGATGTTTTGAGGCATTGGAAATGAAATTCTTCGGTGGGTTCCTGTGCCTAGAATCTCGCTGAATCAGTAGCATGGCCATCTCCTGGAGCTTGGGAGCAGTGCTGAGTCTTGGGCCCCCTTTAGACTTAGTGAACCAGGGTCTAATATTTTATTGCCATCTCCAGGTGATTGGTATGCACAGACTCAGGCTGGCCTCTGTCGTCTTATTGGTGGAAGCTGGGTTGCTGCTTTGCCCAAGTTCTGAGGGTGGGAAGAGGGAAGGTAGAGGTATGGTCAGGGCACAGA